GGGATTACAGGAGTGTGCCACCACGCATGGCCAATTTTTTGGATTTTAGTAGAGACGGGGTTTCACCATGTTGGCCAGGATGGTCTCGATCTCCTGACCTCATGATCCGCCCGCCTCAGCTTCCCAAAGTGCTGGGATGACAGCCTCCATGCCCAGCCAATGGTTGCATTCTTTTGGGTTTCTGAGTAGTGTTTCCAAAGAAGGCGGTCAGACATGCATCTATCGCAGTGAGCACGGGCTGACTGAACAGAATGGAAGGTGGGTTTGCCTTGAGCACGTTCCAGCTTGACTGTTTTTTTAGCTTTTTGATTTTGGGGACCGAGGGTACTCTCCTTTCACAGCTTCCTTTAGGATACGTAGACCATGTGCTCAATTCAGAAAATTAAAATATACTTATATATATATATCTAAAAGAAGCAAGAGCTATGAACCTTCGGCCACCTTGAAATAGTATTCAGGTCATTGTATAGCAAGTTGATTTCCTCTGGGCATCTCTGGAGCCAGAGGAAAACGTTACTGCTCAAATACTTCTCCTTGTCTTATTGAAAAGAACTATGAGGCCAATTCTACAGCCAGTGGCCTATTCCTAACATTATATTCTGAAAGGAGTGTATGACGGCTATGTACCTTCAAGGCACACAATGCAACACCACAAATAACAGCTCTTTCAAAACGGTTTCTGGCCAGCAAGGGCAAGGTGGCTCAGGCCTCTAATCCAGCACTTTGGGAGGCCAAGGCGGGTGGATCACCTCAGGTCAGGAGTTCGCGACCAGCCTGACCAACATAGTGAAACCCTGTCTCTACTAAAAATACAAAAAATTAGCCGGGCACGGTGGCAGGTGCCTGTAATCCCAGCTACTTGGGAGGCTGAGGCAGGAGGATCACTTGAACCCAGGAGGCTGAGGTTGTGGTGAGCCGAGATCACACCATTGCACTCCAGCCTGGGCAACAGAACGAGGCTCCATCTCAAAAAAATAATAATAATAAGTATTTCTAAGGCATCACTGTAAAAGGTGGGACATACTTAGAAGGGCATAGCTGGATACAGCCAGTTTTCTAAGCTTCTGGTGATTGAGCTTACGAGGGACAGAGAGGCGGACATTTCTCACTGTACCACAGTTATTGGGTCAAGTTTTATCACCATGTCGTGTGATGCTAAAACATTTCTCTAAGCTGCTTGAACCAAGGTGCACAGAGTTTCATGTGGGCCTAGCACACTGCAGACCTCGCAATACGTGTGAGGAAAATTCTTCGTAGCTTGGTAAATTTGCAAAATTGCTTGTGCAAATGTGTTTTATGATTTGAGACTCATCACAAAGACCATATGTGACCGGGCGCGGTGGCTCACGCCTATAATGGAGCACTTTAGGAGGTCTGGGAGGGTGGATCACGTGAGGTCAGGAGTTCGAGACCACCCTGGCTAACATCGTGAAACCCCATCTCTAGTAAAAATACAAAAAAAATCAGCTAGGCGTGGTGGCGTGTGCCTGTAATCCCAGCTACTCTGGAGGCCGACGCACAAGAATTGCTTGAACTCGGGACGCAGAGGTTGTGAGGCTGCATTCCAGCCTGGATGAGAATTTAAAAGAAAAGACCACAGGTGACTCATGCCTGTCATCTCTGCACTTTGGGAGGCTGAGGCAGGTGGATACCTTGAGGTCAGGAGTTCGAGAACAGCCTGGCCAATATGGTAAAACTCCCATCTCTACTAAAAATACAAAAAATTTGCTGAGTATGTTGGCGGGCACCTATACTCCGGGCTACTCGGGACGCTGAGGAGGTTGCAGTGAGCCAAGATCATGCCACTGCACTCCAGCCTGGGTGACACAGTGAGACCTTGTTCCAAAAAAACAGTCCAGACACAGTGGCTCATGCCTGTAATCCGAGCACCTTGGGAGGCTGAGGCAGGTGGATCACTTGAGGTCAGGAGTTGGGTATCAGCCTGCCAACATGGCAAAACTCCCGTCTCTGCTAAAAATACAAAAATATTAGGTGAGTGTGATGGCAGGCACCTGGAGTCCTGGGCCACCTGGGAGGCTGAGGCAGGAGAATTGCTTGAACAGGGCAGGTGGTGGTTTCACTGAGCCGAGATCGCGCCACTGCACTCCAGCCTGGGTGACAGAGTGAGACCCTGTTTCAAAAAGAAACAAAACAGGCCAGGTGCAGTGGCTCACGCCTATAATCCCAGCACTTTGGGAGGCTGAGGCAGGAGAATCGCTTGAAACGGGCAGGTGGTGATTTCAGTGAGCCAGGATTGTGTCACTGCACTCCAGCCTGGGTGACACAGTGAGACCCTGCTTCAAAAAAGACAAAACAGGCCAGGTGTGATGGCTCATGCCTGTAATCCCAACACTTTGAGAGGCCGAGGCAGGCAGATCATGAGGTCAAGAGACAGAGATTGCCCTGTCCAAGATGGTGAAACCCCATCTCTACTAAACATACAAAAATGAGCGTGGCGTGGTGGCGGGCGCCTGTAGTCCCAGCTACTCAGGAGGCTGAGGCAGGAGGGTCGCGTGAGCCCAGGAGGCGGAGGTTGCGGTGAGCCGAGATCGCACCACTGCACTCCAGCCTGGCGAGAGAGCGAGACTCTGTCTCAAAAACGAACAAACCAATAAAGGAGAGCAGATGCACAAGTAGCATTCAATAGATGGTGGGAGGACGCGTCACGGGTGGCATGCAGCCGCGTGTGCATCCGCGCTGAAACGTGGTGAATGCTTAATTGGGTGGATTACATCCATGACTTTTCTCGTATTATAAAAAATAATCATTGAGGTTGAAAGGATAAGGGAAAAACAGCCAGGAGGGCACATCCATCCCCACCCCCAAAAGAGCTGATGAGCTACGTTAATATCAGAGGAAATCAAGTTTAAGGGAAAAAGAAAATCTTCTGTTCCTTTTATTCAGCAAATGGGCTTCCTGCTTCATGTCCACAGGGGCGAAGACCGAATCACGGGCTTTTCAGAAAGAGTATTTCTTTTTTTCTGGTATTTCTTTTGTTGCAAGGCTGCAGAGCAAAAACACAAAGGTCAGGCTCAAATCTGTCTCCCGGATTTGGGGTCAGAGACCAGTTTCGTTCTGTTTTTCTTCGTTTTGGAATCAGGGTCTCACTGTGTTGCCCAGGCTAGAGGGCCGTGGAGTGAACCTGGCTCACCGCCGCTTCGACCTTGTGGGCTCAAGCAATCCACTTACCTCACCCTCCACGGTAACTGGAACCACAAATACTTGCCTCCACACCCAGCTAATTTTTAAAAAAATTTTTGTAGAGATGGGGTCTTGCTGTGTTGCCCAAGCTGGTCTCAAACTTCTGAGGTCAATGGATCCTCCTGCCTTGGCCTTCCAAAGTGCTGGGAATACAGGCCTGAGAATCACTTCAGGCCAGCAGTTCAAGGCCAGCCGGATTAACATAAACTAGACACCATCTCTACAAAAAAAAATTAAAATTAGCTTGGCGTGGTGATGCGCACCTGCTTTCCAAGCTGACCTAGAGGCTGAGGCAGGAAGATCACTTGAGCCCAAGAGTTTGAGGCTACCGTGAGTTATGACTGCACTCCTGTACTCCAGCCTGGGCAAGGGGAGACACTGTCTCAAAAACAACACAATTTATATCACATGTGCCATGGAAATATGTATAATTATTATATAGTGATAATAATTAGAACTTCAAAAAATTAAAACATTAAGAACCCCCTTTCAAAAATTCGTATTGCAGTCCTGGCACTGTGGCTCATGCCTGTAAACCCAGCACTTTGGGAGGTCAAAGTCGGATCCCCTGAGGTCAGGAGTTCAAGACCAGCCTGGGTAACCTGGTGAAACCTCACGTCTACTAAAAATACAAAAAATAGCCGGGTGTGGGGGCGAGTGCCTGTAGTCTCCGCTACTCGGGAGGCTGAGGAAAGAGAATCGCTTGAACCCAGGAGGTGGAGGTTGCCGTGAGCCGAGATTGCACCATTGCACTCCAGCCTGGGCGACAGAGTGAGATTCTATCTCACAAAAAAAAAAAAAAAAAAAAAATGGTAACATAATTTAACATCTCTGGCCAGGCACGGTGGTGGCTCACGCCTGTAATCCCAGAACTTTGGGAGGCCAAGGCAGGTGGATCACGAGGTCAGGAGTTCAAGACCACACTAGCTAACCTGGTGAAACCTTGGCTTTACTAAAAATACAAAAATGAGCTGGGCGTGGTGGCACACGCCTGTAATCCTAGGTGCTCTGGAGGCTGAGGCAAGAGAATCGCTTGAACATGGGAAGCGGAGGTTGCAGTGAGCTGAGGTCACACCACTGCACTCCAGCTTGGGTGACAGAGCGAGACTCTGTCTCAAAAAAAAAAAAAAAAAGAATTTAACATCTCTGGCAGGCTGAGCTGGGTGGATCATGAGGCCAGGAGTTGCAGACCAGCCTGGCTAATATAGTGAAACCCCGTCTCTACTAAAAATATAAAAATTAGCTGGGGGTGGTGACACGTGCCTATAATCCCAGCTACTCAGGAAGCTGAGGCAGGAGAATCACTTGAACCTGGGAGGAGGCGGTTCCGGTAAGCCAATATCATGCCGCTGCACTCCAGCCTGGGGGGACAGAACAAGACTCCGTCTCAAAAAAATAGAATGAAAAAAAGGAATCAAGAATGGCTAGTCCACAGGCAGAGCAGCCCCGAGGGCTGCTGTTTGCCCATTTTTATGGTGATTTCCTGATGATATGCTAAACAAGGGTGGGTTATTCATAACTGGGTGGACATAGTGAGCCTCAAAAAAAAAATTAGCGACGTAATTTAACATCTCTCACCCCAGTACAATTAAGGGATGCGTTTGTAATAGAAAGACGAACTAGAAAAATCCACATGCATTGCAAAACTGGCCAACAGACTGCGTGATCACACGTGGGTCCAGGGGAGGTGGCTGCCTGTAGACGTGGCCAAAGCCACGGGTGCCGTGAGGACGAAGCGTTTCGGTGTGAATGCCGTCAGCCTCTTACAGCTTGTCCTGTTTGTCCTGTTTGCCCTGAAGTGCCTGCTACTCACCCCACGGAGCCTACGCCCAGAGCAAGCTGGCCCTCGTCCTGTTCACCTACCACCTGCAGCGGCTGCTGGCGGCTGCGGGGAGCCACGTGACGGCCAACGTGGTGGACCCCGGCGTGGTGGACACGGGCCTCTACAGACATGTGTTCTGGGGTACACGTCTAGTGAAGAAGCTTCTCGGCTGGTTGCTTTTCAAGGTAAGGCGCTTCAGCGTCTGTGCTTTCACGGCTACGCCTGGAGCTGTTGACAGGAAATAGGAGCTCCCCGAGCAGACCCCAGACAGGGTTCTTGGATCTCATGCAAGAAATAATTCACAGCAGTCTGCAGTGCAAAAAGGAAAGCAAGTTTATCCAGAAAATCATAGGCCGGGCGCGGTGGCTCACGCCTGTCATCCCAGTACTTTGGGAGGCGAAGGTGGGTGGATCCTGAGGTCAGGAGTTCGAGACCAGCCTGGCCAGCATGGTGAAACCCCGTCTGTGCTAAAAATACAAAAATTAGCCAGGCGTGGTGGCAGGTGCCTATAAGCCCAGCTACTCAGGAGGCTGAGGCAGAGAATTGCTTGAACCGGGGAGGTAGAGGTTGCAGTGAGCGGAGATCACATCACTGCACTTGAGTCTCGGTGACAGAGCAATACTCAGTCTCAGAAAACAACAAAAAAAGATAAAATAAGTGAATAAAGAATGGTGATTCTGTAGAGCAGCCCCGAGGGCAGCTGGTTTCCCATGTTTATGGTTATTCCTTGATGATACACTAAACAAGGGGTGGGTTCGCAGGCCTCCGCCTTTTAGACCATACAGGGTGGCTTCCTGAGGTCGCCACGGCGTGTGCAGTCTGTCATGGCTCTGGTGAGAGCGTAGCAGTGAGGAAGACCGGAGGGCCCTCTTGTCGCCATCTTGGTTCCGCTGGGTTCTGGCCGGCTCCGTGACTGCAGGCTGTTTTGTCAGCACGGTCTTTATGACCTGTGTCTTGTGCCGACCTCCTGTCTCATCCTGTGCCTTAGAATGCCTTCACCATCTGGGAGGGCTCAGCCTCAGTTTACCCAGCGCCTGCTGAAGATGGAGTCACTGCGGCTCACACATCTCTGACACAGCCACTTCTAGGCAGCGTGTGTGGGGTGCTGGGTGCATAGATTCCGGGATTTATTTGTACATTCTCACCCCAAAACCCTGATTGTCTGCGCTCGGTGGGTGACTGTCTGTCACGGTGTGGTGGCCATAAATGAATCTTCTTAGGAGCTGGAGACCCTTTGGCGAGGCTGTGGTAGGGGCCAAGGGAAAAACATCCCCCTTTGCCCTCCAAAGGTTTGCCGAAAAATCAACTCACAAAATACAGTTTCCCTTATTGCAAGATGAATAAAGGAAAGGTCATGAAAATGTATTCTCATACATGGAGGAGAAAGAGGGATTGCCCTGTCACACTGCGGGGTATGTACTCTTCTTTTTAGGGGACAAAGGGTGGGGAATTGGGGTGAATTTAGGGGAACGGTAAATGGTTTTTAAGGGAAGTGAATGGGTTGGAAGAATGTACAGCAGCCCGTGACAGAGGTGCTTGAACCCACAGAACAGACAGTGGTTTCTGAGGCATTTGTACACAGCTGTTGACCGACGCCAGGCTTCCCTCCTGCGATATGGGTTCAGAAACCCAGGGAAGGGGCCCCGGGTCCTTCCTCCTCCTCTGGCGGGTCCGGACTTTGGGGAATTTCAGAGGAGAGCTTTACCCTGTGCCTTGGGAGACACAGAAATCAACAGGGGTGTCGAGATCACTGCCTGTGGCTGTCCGTACTGCAGACCTTAACTTAGTGACGGATGAATAAAGCACATGGACACACAGATATTGTATTTTGGCCAGTTCAACCGAGGGACTGGTTGGCTTGCAGACTCCTTGGAGAATTCTGTAAAGATATAGCAGCCGCTGGCCCCAACCAGCCAGTGAGACTTGCATTTACTCAGTAAAGTTTAGTTGGCAAATGCTTGAGTATAGACCAGTAGAGGTTGAAGATCAAAGGACAGGTTCTGATGCCCAAAGCAAACACCATTAGTGGGTAACATCCCTGGTTCACCTCCCCGCCATTGACAGGCCATCCAGCTCAAAGGTTAGTTTTAAGACCACATGAGGCCGGGCATGGTGGCTCACGCCTGCAGTCCCAGCACTTTGGGAGGCCAAGGCCGGCAGATCACGAGGTCAAGAGATCCAGACCATCCTGGCCAACATGGCGAAACCCTGTCTCTACTAAAAATACAAAAATTTGCTGGGCGTGGTGGCACGCGCCTGTGGTCCCAGCTACTCGGGTGGCTGAGGTGGAAGAATCACTTGAACCCAGAGGCGGAGGTTGCAGTGAGCCGAGGTTGTGCCACTGCCCTCCAGCCTGGGCAGTAAGGCTTGTCCCTCAGTTGAGGAGGACAAAGCACCAGACTTTGGGGTGTTGGTGTTTCAAGACCCAACAATTGAATGGCCCACATTTCTGCAGTGATCTTCGTTGTCCTGATACGTGATCTTCTGACGCAGGGCAATGACTCGTACCCCAGCTATTCCCTTCTGGTTTTTGGATGAAGATCTTTTGTTTGTTTCTGAGATGGAGTCTTGCTGTCAACCAGGCTGGAGTGCAGTGGTGTGATCTTGGCTCACTGCAACCTCCACCTCCTGGGTTCAAACTTTCTTTTCCCCTCCCTCCCTCCCTTTCTTCCTTCTTTCTTTCTTTGACAGAGTTTTGCTCTTGTCACCCGGGCTGGGATGCAGTGTTGCTGTCTCGGCTCACTGCAACCTCTACCTCCAAGGTTCAAGCAATTCTCCTGCCTCAGCCTCCTGAGTAGCTGGGATTACAGGTGTGTCCCACCATGCCTGGCTAGTTTTTGTATTTTTAGTAAAGACAGGGTTTCACCACATTGGCCAGGCTGGTCTCGAACTCCTGACCTGAAATGATCTGTCCACCAGATCCTCAAGTGCTAGGATGACAGTCAAGAGTCGCGTGCCCATCCCCATGGAGGTGTTTTGCAGTGACATTGACCTGGGAGCTATAGATTTACTCTCTCTGTTGTCTATCTCAAGCTGGGATACTGAAGTTTTAATAATTTGTTTGCAAAAGAAAAGAAAGAACCTTGAGAAGTTTTTCTGTTTTTCCCATTGCATTGCAGAACCATCTAATTATCATGTTTTAAAGTGTCTGCTTTTGAAACACTGCCACGGTTCGCCTTCGAAACCGTGTGGGCCGGGGAATGTTAGGAAGAGCGATTCTCACACAGCTTTTAACATTTCTTGAACGTGTATGGCTTTGTTGAAGCTTTCCACCTCTTTGTGAGTCAGTTTAGACTGCTTTTCTCTTTAGAAAACTGCTCCATCAAGGTTCGGAACGAATGAGCATGGCTACAAATCCCCTCTTCTTCCCGTTGGACTGCCTGGTTTTGCTCTTGGTTTCCTCTCAAAGTCTCTTATGAAATCAGCTGTCCACTGCCAGCCTGGACTTTTCTAAGGGATTAATTACCTCACTTATTTTGCAGTTTGCTTTCTTATCAATTGTTCTTTGAATGTCTAATTCCTCAAGCAAAGAAATTTCAAAATATTACTTTTTGGGGGGTTTTCTTGAGACGAAGTTTCACTCTTGTTTTCCAGGCTGGAGTGCAGTGGCGCAATCTCAGCTCACTGCAACCTCCACGTCCTGGGTTCAAGCGATTCACCTGCCTCAGCCTCCTGAGTAGCTGGGACTACAGGTATATGCAACCATGCCTGGCTGATTTTTGTATTTTTAGTAGAGGCAGAGTTTCCCCATGTTGACCAGGGTGGTCTTGAACTCCTGACCTCAGGTGATCCACCTCCGTCTGCCTCCCGAAGCGCTGGGATGACAGGTGTGAGCCACTGCGCCTGACAGAATATTAGTTTTTGTAAGCACTAAGTTTTCACTAACAAAACACTGACACTTGCACACGTTCCTTATAAAATCCCATGAATTCCTCAGAATGACTTCAGTATCCGAGGACATTCACTTCCTTTTTTCTTTTAAATGTTTTCTAGGCAGGCCGGGCGCGGTGGCTCAAGCCTGTCATCCCAGCACTTTGGGAGGCCGAGGTGGGTGGATCACGAAGTCAAGAGATCGAGACCATCCTGGTCAACATGGTGAAACCCCGTCTCTACTAAAAATACAAAAAACTAGCTGGGCGTGGTGGCGCGTGCCTGTAATCCCAGCTACTCAGGAGGCTGAGGCAGGAGAATTTCCTGAACCCAGGAGGCAGATGTTGCGGTGAGCCGAGATCACGCCACTGCACTCCAGCCTGGGTAACAAGAGCGAAACTCCGTCTCAAAAAAAAAAAAAAAAAGAATGTTTTCTAGGCTAGGTCTTGCTCCGTATCCCTGGCTGCAGCATAGTTTTTCATACAGATGGGATTTAACTCTTCACTCAGGATGCTCTTATGCGCTGGGATTATGACTCCGTCACTTGCTGAAGCCTCGAAATCCTGGCTTCAAGCGATTCTCCCACCTCGGCCTCCCAGAGTGCTGGGATTACAGGCATGAGCCATCGTCACTGGCCTTGATTTTATTTTTTTTCTAAATATTCAACAAGCAAAGTGGAATTCTAGCCACATGAATCATTCCTTAATCCTTTGATTATCATCTGCAAATTTGGATTAAAAACAGCGACGGGGCATTGGTTGAGTCATAGTGCCTTTACATAAGAGAAAACATTATGGAACTTTAAAATTATAAAGCAGAAGAGTATGCATTAGCATGGAAATGAAATAAAAATAATGTCAGAATTTTAAAGAAAAGTCTATGCAGCAGTGGTAGCTATGATGCTGTCTTTATAAAGATAATTCTGTATTGCTGTATATGTATTTTTCCTAGTGTGTATGCGTGCATGCCTTCTATATTAAGACTTGGAAGACCAGCCAGGCACAGTGTCTCATGCCAGTAATCCCAGCAGTTTGGGAGGCTGAGGTGGCCGGATCACTTGAGATCAGGAGTTCGAGACCAGCCTGGCCAACGTGGTGAAACCCCATCTCTACTAAAAATACAAAAAAATTAGCCGGGCATGGTGGCACATGCCTCTAGTCCCAGCTACTTGGGAGGCTGAGGCAGGAGAATCACTTGAGCTAGTGAGGCAGAGGTTGCAGTGAGCCGAGATTGTGCCATTACACTCCAGCCTGGGCAACAAAAGTGAAACTCCATCTCAACAAAAAAATAAAATAGAAAGACTCGGAGGACCTGC